ATGCACATACTTGGGAATGTGTACTCTACTTTATGCACATACTTGGGAATGCTCAGACAAAACTAACAAAGTGTTGTAGAGTAAAAAGCACGTATTGGGGCTGGGGAGATGGTTCAGTGGTTAAGAGTACGTGCTGTTCTTCCAGAGGACCCTGGTTTGGTTCTCAGTACCCACATAGTGACTCACAACCTTCTGTAACTCCAGTTCTAAGGGATCTGATGCTCTCTTCTAAACTCTGTGAGTATTAGGCACATACATGATGCACAGACATACATGCAGGCAAAACAGTTATAAAATGATTCTAAAAAAATTAAAAGTATATGTTAATGTTTCCTTAAAACATAAAAATTAGTAACTGTAGTTTTATGGTAGAATCACAAAAGTAGAATTATTCCTTCAGGGTAAATTCTATAGATAAATAAATAGAATAGGTAGTTCTTTATTTTATTGCTTAAGAAATGAATTTGGTGTGTGGTGACACATGTCTGTGACCCCAGTACTCAGGAGGTAAAAGCAGTAGGACCCAGGAGTTCAAGGCCAGCCTCAGCTACATAGCAAGTTTTAGGCCAGCCCAGGCTACATGAGACCTGTTTTGTTTTTTTTTAAAGAAAGAAAGAAAAGAAAAAAAACGTGGTGCTGGCAAGATGACTCGGTGGGGAAAGGCCTTCAAGCCTGACAACCTGATTTCAGTCAGTGCCTGGCACCCACATGGTAGAAAGAAAAAACAAACTCCTGTAAATTGTTCTCTGACCTCCACTCAGGGCCATGCCTCCTCTCCCCGATGTAAAAAAGTACATCTCTATAAAAATGAAATTTCTTTTTAAATAAGAAAAGTGGTGGCTGGAGAGATGGCTCAGAGGTTAAGAACACTGGTTGCTCTTCCAAAGGTCCTGAGTTCAAATCCCAGCAACCACATGGTGGCTCACAACCATCTATATGCCTTGTTCTGGCGAGTAGGCATACATGCAGACAGAACACTGCATACATAATAAATACAAAAATCTCAAAAAAAGTATGCATAGTAGGTACTTAAGAGCCTTTGAGTAGTGAAAACCAATGCTTTTTAACATTTTTCTTTATTTTTATTTTATGAGTATTTTGCACCACCACCACCCCCAGCCAGTAGTGCACATCTTTAACCCCAGCCAGCATTCAGAAGGCAGAGGCAGGTAGATCTCTGTGTGTTTGAGACCAGCCAGGGCTACATAGTGAGACCCTGTCTCAAAACAAAAAGCAACGAAAAAAACCCATCACTTTGGAAACTAAGGAGCACAAGGTTCTTTTTTCTTACCTCTTGATTGCTATCATTAGCTACTTCTTTGGTTCTTAGTCATTGATTTTTAAAAGTTAATTAATTAAAGTATTTTAAGTTAGCACATAAATAGATGGGTTCTTGCCATTTGCAATTCCAGAAAACTCAAAAGTGTCTTTGACAGTAATATTCTAGTTGACTGTCAACAGACTTTGCATCTTAAAACTTTGTTCTTGTCCTCCATTCAGGGTGCCTTGTGTGCAGCAGCACCCTTTTGTGTTACCCCACATTCCTGCAGGCAGCCTACTGTTTGCCCTGTGCCCCTCTTGAGCTCTTTCCAGCTTCATCCTCTTCTTAGTCTTAGACGTTCGATCATACAGTCAATTGGAACTTTACAATGGATGTTATATATATTTGCCCTGTCTTGCTAAGTGAGGCAAGGGCAAGGAAATGATGTGCTATTATCATTCCTATATATCTTAAGGTGAGTTCTTATGTGAGAAGGCAGGCAGCTTTGTTAGTGGAACATGGACCAAAACTGTTTCTTCTTTTGTTTCCTGGCTTTTCAGAGGTATCCTAACTTTCTTCCTAGAAGGAACACCTCCATCTAAGGAGGTTGGGTGTTCAAAGTAACTGGGGGCATTTGAGGAGATGACTTAGTGAAGGAGAGCTTGTATAACCGTGAGACCTGAGTTTCAGTTCCCAGCACCCACACAAAAGGTAGATATGGCCACACATATTGATAAAAACAGTTCTGGGAGGCAGAGACAGGTGGATCCTGGGAGTATGCTGAATACCAGTCTTAATGAAAGGGTGAGCTTTCGTTTTAGTGAGGGACCCTGTCTTAAGGGAATAGAGGAAGACATCTGTTATCCTACCTAGCTTCTCTGCTTGCTTGTGTACCCATTCACACACATACCACACACACTCCCACAAAACCAATTACCCACCCCCCACACCCATACAGATTCACCCACCCACACATACACCTACTCACGCACATACCACCACCACCACCAGAGAGACATTGAGAAAGGAGGAAAATGAGGACTCAGGAGAAATTGTGGTGTGATTTACTAAATTTATGTTGCTTACCCAGTGTGATTATCTCTTAATAAAGAGATTATTTTCTTTAAGCAAAGAAAATGTTGGTGCTAAGGATGTTAGAGAAAGGTATGTGGATGTGCTGGTGCAAGCGGGGGGGGGGGGGGGGGGGGGGGGGGGGGGGGGGGGGGGTAGGATGGTTAAGGGATAAAATGAGAAAGCCAGCTCCACTAAGGGTCAGAAATGAAATCCAGGTTAAGGAAGGGCAAGTCTTCCTGAGAAAGTCTTCAGAAATACACCTTTTAGATCTTTAAACACTTAGCTGTGATACAGGCTATATAAATACTTGGGGTCAGTTACAGATACTAAGGTGATCCTAGATCGTGAAGATTTTCTTAAAAATATCCCACCAGTAAATATTTACTGCATATTGATTATCTCTGCTTGTACTGTTTAAGAAATTGGCAGTAGGGGGCTGGAGAGATGGCTCAGAGGTTAAGAGCACTGGCTGCTCTTCCAGAGGTCATGAGTTCAATTCCTAGCACCCATATGGTGGCTCACAACCATTTATAATGAGATCTGGTGCTCTCTTCTGGCCTGCAGGCAGAACACTGTATACATAACAAATAAATATTTAAAAAAAATTTTAAAAATGGCAGTATAGCCATAAGCAGAAAAGAAATCTCTTTAAAACAACATAAGTTTTGTGGGGGAGACAAACATAAACATTAAAAATATAAAATAATGAATTTTGCTGGATCTCTGAAAATTAATAAAATGGTAAAGAGTAGGCCTTAGTTGGGACAAATTAGGGTAGAGAGCTCTGAGATGATGATATTGAATGATAAAGAAAGGAGACTTGGTTGGTGATGAACAAGTTTTTTTTTGTTTTTTGTTTTGTTTTTTCGAGACAGGGTTTCTCTGTGTAGCTTTGTGCCTTTCCTGGAACTCACTTTGTAGACCAGGCTGGCCTCGAACTCACAGAGATTCGCCTGCCTCTGCTTCCCGAGTGCTGGGATTAAAGGGCGTGCGCCACCACCGCCCAGCACTCTTTCTTTTTTAATAATTTGTTTTTATTTTATGTACATTGGTGGTTTTGCCTGAATGTATGTATGTATGAGGTCATTGGATCCCCTGGAACAGGAGTTACAGTTGTAAGCTGCCATATAGGTTCTGGGAATTGAACCTGGGTCCTCTGGAAGAGCAGCCAGTGCTCTTAACTACTGAGCCATCTCTCCAGCCCATAAAAGTGTTTTTTATATTCTACTTTTATGCTCCTGTTTTAGACCATGGGCCTCTACTATGTTTGAATACAAGTGTGTGGGGTGGGGGTGGGGGTGGGGAGGTGTGCTTCTAGAAAAGAGAAGGAAGAAAATTAGATACATGCTTAATTTCAAGTAGTTTTCTGTGTTTCTTCTTTTTTTTCAGGAAAAATTGTTTATGGTATTAATTGAAGGAATAGTAATAGAGAGATTAATTTAGGGAAAACGCTGGCCATTCTTCTTGAGACTAGGGAAAAATAAGAGGTTCCTGGGCTTTCAAAGTATGGCTGGTTTCAGCATCCTCACTCTGTCCAGACAGTAATGAGATTCTGAGGTGGTGTCTTCCCTCTTGGCAGGTGGCTCAATCACAAAGGGGTGAGGCAGAAGCGCCTGAATGCCTGGCTGGGGATCAAGAACGACTATGCTGATGAGTAAGTTCCTCCTCCTTTGTTCTCATGTAAGGCTCCTCCCATCATGCATGTGGAAAGGTGGCTCTCAGGGTCACCCGCAGGACAAAGAACTGTGCACCTCTTTTGAAGTGAGTTGCCTGAAGAGTATGGTGCACACACTTGAGTGTAGAAGTTCTCCCACATGAAATTTGGATGCATATACTGCCATTCAGGTATTTTAGCTTACTGAATGAGTTCTGTAGTTTCTGCACCATAGTAAGTAGTAAAGTTGTTTAAAACTAAACACTCACCTAATTGCAGTTTTACTTTTTTTTATGTGTGTGTGTGTTTTTCTCTTCTTTTCTTTCTTTCTCTCTTTCTCTCTTTCTCTCTTTCTTTCTTTTTTCTTTTTCTTTTTCTTTTTTTTTTTTTGGTTTTTCAAGACAAGGTTTCTCTGTGTAGTTTTGGTGCCTATCCTGGATCTCACTCTGTAGACCAGGCTGGCCTCGAACTCAGAGATCCGCCTGGCTCTGCCTCCCAAAAAACAAAAACAAAAAACCAAAGCATTTTATTAGCTTTTAGATATAAGAATATAAGAGTGCTAGAATAATATTTCAAATATTTAATTTTTAGAAGCTACTTTATCAATGAGGAAGATGAGACCCTGCCGCATTATGATGAGAAAACCTGGTTTGTGGAGGATATCAACCGAGTACAAGCAGAGGACCTGCTTTATGGGAAACCAGACGGTGCATTCTTAATTCGTGAAAGTAGCAAGAAAGGATGTTATGCTTGTTCTGTGGTGTAAGTCTTCTCTGGGTATATTATATGGCCTTTTCCAATCTGCATTAATTAATTACAGTCATCATAAAATTGAGATGGAATTAGATATGGTGATAAGAACTCATGGCTTACTTAGACCATCAGTATTTATCTAATGGTTTTAGGATATAGTGGATTGAGTCCGGTCCTACTGTTTACTTGCTCTATAACGTAGGGATGTGACTTACCTGTCCCTTGTCTAGTCTAATCTGTAAATGCTACCTACTGATGTTATTAGGATAATGATGACACTCTATAAGGCAGGGTAGAAAACAAAGAAATATGACTAAGTGACTGCTCTCAGAGAGCACAAGGCTTAGACAACTATGGATGTTTTCTCTCACACACAGAATATAAGCATAACTATAAACAACATAAAAGTAAAATAGGGACAGCCAAGCTACACAGAAGAACCCTGTCCTGAAACAAACAAACAAAAAGGTAGAAGAGGTACTGTTTGGGAGAAGGAAAGGGGAAACAGGATAGCCGGGGAGTATATGATCAAGATATAATGACACATATGTCTCAAAAATCCTACTGGGACCTGAAAGATGGCTCAGTAGGTAAAGGTGCTTGATGACCTAAGTTTAAGACTCACATGGTACAAGGAGAAGACCAACTCCCTCAAGTTGTCCACTGATTTCCACATGTATGCCATGCGTACACATATGTGTACCCCACCATAAAGAAATAAAAGTAGTTTTAAAGTGACTCTAAAAAGTCACATTGAAACCCATTATTTTGTGTGTTAAATAAAAAAAGGAGGGTCATGTAGAAAGGATGAACGAACGGGATTCACAGTGATGAGGTTACAGGTATAAGCTATCACACCTAGCTCCCAGGCTTCATTTCATAAAATAGCTATGATAATAGAATCACTGTGAAATAGCTATCATTAGTAGGCCTTGCATGTGTGGAAATGTTCGTTCTGGTCAGGGAAAAGGAGAGTTAGAGGTTTGGGGCAGAGGTGTCAGTACTGTGTGTTACTGTCGTCTCAGGGTGGGACTACTTACAGCAGCATCCCATTTTTGTTTGCCTTACTCTACTTAAGTTGTGCCAGTAGAAATGACAGGGGAGGGCAGTTCTCACCAGACTTCAAGTCTTATGAGAACAAGAAAAGGAGGGTGGTAGAATGTCTTCTACAGCTGATAAACACTTTCATCAAAGTGGCTGAATACAAAGTTAACTCACAAAAATCAGTGGCTTTCCTGTATACAAATGGCCAGTGGGCTGAGAAATCAGGGAAGCAACACCTTTCACAATCATCTCAAATAATGTAAAATATCTTGGGATAACTCTAACCAAGCAAATGCTGTATGATAGAAACATCATTCAAGTCATTTAAGAAATTGAAGATTCCTAAGCTTATGGATCAGTAGGATCCATATAGTAAAAATGGCCATCCTGCCAAAAGCAATCTACAGATTCAATGCAATCTGCATCAAAATTTCAACACAATTATTCACAGATCTTGAAAGCACAATTTTCAGCTTTATATGGAAACAAACAAAAAAACCCCAGGAGAACTAAAAAAATCATGAACAATACAAGAACTGCTGGAAGTATCACCATCCTCAATTTCAAAGTTGTATTACAGAGCTACAGTAATAAAAATAGCATGGTATTGGCACAAAAACAGACACATTGATCAACAGAATAGAATTGAAGACCCAGACATAATCCACACACATATGAACATTTAATTTTTGATAAAGAAGCCATAAATACACACTAGAATAAAGACAGCATCTTAAACAAATAGTGCTGGTCTAATTGGATGTCTGCATGTAGAAGAATTCAGATAGATACATACTTATCACCGTGTACAAAACTCAACTCCAAATGGATCAAAGACCTCAACATAAAACTGGATGCACTGAACCTGATAGAAGAGAAATTGGGTAATAGCCTTGAACTCACTGGCACAGGAAAAGACTTTCTGAACAGAACATTGTTAACACAGGCACTAAGATCAACAACTAATAAATGTGACCCTATGAAACTGAAAAGCTGCTGCATGGCAAAGGACACCATCGTTTAGACAAAACAGCAGTCTATAAAATGGGAAAAGATTTTACCAACTATACATGCAATGGAGGGCTAATATCCAAAATACATAAAGGACTCAAAAAAGCTAGCTATCAAGAAAACAAATAATCCATTTTAAAAATGGGGTACAGATCTAAATAGAAAACTCTCAAAAGAGGAAAATCACATGGCTGGGAAACATTTAAAGAAATGTTCATCACCCTTAGTCATCAGGGAAATGCAAATCCAAACTACTTTGAGATTTCATCCTACACCTGTCAGAATGGCTAAGGTCAATAACACAAGTGACAGTTAATGAGATGAAGAGGTGCAGTAGCGGGAACACTCGTCTATTGCTGGTGTAGTAAAAACTTGTATGGCCCCTATGGAGGAACACTGTGGCTGCTCCTCAGGAAGATGGGAATTGATCTACCTCAAGATCCAGCCTTATGCCAGGCTGTGGTGGTGGTGCATGCCTTTAGTCCCAGCACTTGAGAGGCAGAGGCAGGTGGTTCTCTGTGAATTCCAAGCCAGCCTGGTTTACAGAGTGAGTTCCAGGACAGCCAGGGCTACACAGTGAAACTGTCTCAAAAAACCAAAAAAGAAAAAGAAAAGATCCAGTCTTATACCATTTTTGGGCATATACCCAAAGGATGCTAATTCCTAATGCAGAGATACTTGCTCAATTATGTTCATTCCTGCTCTATTCATAATAGCCAGAAATCGGAAACCACCTAGATATCCCTCAACAGAAGAATGGATAAAGAAAATGTGGTACATTTACACAATGGAATATTACTTAGCCATTAAGAAAATGAATTAATCAAATTCAGAGGTAAATGGATGGAACTAGAAAAAAAATCATCCAGAATGAGCTAATCCAGACCTAGAAAGAGAAATATGGTTATGTGTTCGCTTATATGTGGATAGTAGCTGTTAAGTAAATGATAACCAAGTTACAATCCAACCAAGCTACAATCCATAGAACCATGGAGATTACATATAGAGTAAGGGACTAGGGGGACAGATATTTCTCATTAGGAAAGTGAAATAGATTGGTTGTGGCTGGGTGAGGGGAGGCTGGAACAGGAAGATTAAGTGCAGAAGGGGAAGGAAGAGTGGGGTAAGGGAGGGAATATGGAAAGAGACAGCTAAGTAATATTGAGGAGTAATATACAATAGATGCTTCCTAAAATATATACATACATGAGAAAGTGATCTAACTTAAATTGCCAAATAATTAGGGAGACAGAGCCCCAACTGGCCATCTTTTGTCACCAAATGAAACTTCAAGTCACAGGATTGGGTCACATGTAATTGAGTTGTTGGCCAAAGGGACCTATCTTAGGGTTTCTATTGCTATGAAGAGACACCATGACCTTGGCAACTCTTATAAAGAAAACATTTCATTGAGGGTGGCAGCTTACAGTTTTAGAGATTCAGTCCATTATGATCATGAAGGGGAGCATGGCGGCATACAGGTAGACGTGGTGCTAGAGCTGAGAATCCTACATCTTGACTCAGAAGCAACAGGAAATCAACTGACTGTCACACTGAGTGAAGCTTGAGAAAAAGACCTCAAAGCCTGTCCCCACAGTGACACACTTCCTTCAACAAGGCCATACCTCCTAATATTGCCATTCCCTTTAGGGGCCATTTTCTTTCAAACCACCACAGGATCCCATGGGAATCCTCAAACAACTCAGGCTGTTGCCAAGGCTATAGATTGCTCTCCACAAACTGACAAAGGCCCTATTGCTGAAGATAGCACCTACACAACTCACTGAACACGGAGAAGTCCAACTGGTGCCTACATACTGCCTTGATGCCTACTATATTAGTATCTTTGGAACTGGAAGTTACTCTGTATGCTGCTAAAAGAAAAACATAAACATGAACCCAGTCACATACCCTTGGATCAACAATGGGGCTTGCCTGCAAGATATGCTACTACAATGGTGGCATAAAGCTTGTGGTTGTAACCAACCAGTATCTGATTTGACTTAAGGTCTACTCCACGAGATGGAAGGAACCCATACCTGACACTGCATGGGTGACCAAGAACCAGAGACCTAGGGTAAAACCAAACACTACTGTTCTTTAAAAAAAAAAAAAAGGAACAATAAAATAACTTCTAATGACATTCTGCTGTGCTCTGTGGATCAGTGCCTTGCTCATCCATCATCAAAGAATCTTCCTTCTGTAGCAGATGGCAACAAATACAAAGATCCACAGCCAGACATTATTCAGAGAATGAAAGACCTTGGAACACTTAGCCCTAAATGGAATATTTCCATCAAATCCTTCCTGCTAGGACTCAGGGAAGGGGAAGCATAAAGAGTGTAAGAGCCAGAGGGAATGGACGACTCCAAGAAAACAAGACCCACTAAATCAATGTGTTCAAAGTTTATATGAACTCACAGAAACTGAGGCAGTATGCACAGGGTCTATAAGGGTCTTCACCAGGTCCTCTTTGAATATATTATGGCTTCTGGCTTAGTGTTTTTATGGGGCTCCTGAATGTGTAAACAAGTAGATCTGTTTCTTGTGCCTTCTCTTGGGCTCTTTTCCTGCTGTTCGTTTGTTTTGTCCAATTCCAATGTGTTTTTGTTTTATCTTACTTTATTATTATCATTCCTTAGAAGCCTGTTTAATGATTTATTTTTATGTGCATTGATGTTCTGTCTGCATGTATGCCTGTGTGAAGGTGTCAGATCTCTTAGAACTGGAGTTATGGAGGAGGAGGAGGAGGAGGAGGAGGAGGAGGAGTTGTCTCAGGTCTAAAGCAAACCCCATGTAAGCTGCCATGTGGGTGCTGGGAATGGAATCTGGGTCCTCTCAAAGAGGAGCCAGCGCTTTTAACCTCTGAGCCATCTCTCTAGCCTCTAGAAACCTGTTTATTTTCTAATGAGAGACAGAAAAGGAGTGGATCCAGAGGGGAGGAGAAAGGAGGGGAGAAGGAACTGGGAGGAGTGAGGGAGGGGAAACTATAATCGGGATATGCTATGTGAGGGGAAAAAAATCTATTTTCAATAAAAGGGAAAAAAACTTCAGGAAGGTAGCATCAGGCACATAGAAAAAGCATTATCCATCATGACGAAATAGGATTCATTTCAAGAAAGCAAGAATGGTTTAACATAGAAAAACCAATGTGATAATATTAGAAAAAGAACCAAAAAATGTTATGGTACACTCAATATATTCACAAGTTTTGCAAAATCTAGCTTTCATTTCTCAAAAAGAAAAAAAAAAGCAGGGGATAAACTAAGAATAAGGGATAATTTCTGTTACTAGATAAAAGGTATCATATTTAATGATAGAAATTTGAATATCTTCCTCCAAGAGCAGTATGTTCACTCTGAAAGGCATTGTGATTTAGCCAGGAGTGGTGGCACATGCTTTTAATCCCTCTCAGCACTCAGTAGCAGAGGCAGGTGGATTTCTATGAGTTTCAGGCTAGCCTGGTCTATATAGGGAGTATCAGGTCTGCCAAGTTACATGGTGAGACCCTGTCTTTAAAAAAAGGACATTGTGATTGGAAAGGAAGAAGTAAAATGGGTTTATAGAAACTGCAGGTTCTCTCTCTCTCTCTCTCTCTCTCTCTCTCTCTCTCTCTCTCTCTCTCTCTCTCTCTCTCACACACACACACACACACACACACACGTACATATATTCATTTATCTATGTATTTATTTTTGGATAGGGTCTCATGTACCCCAGGCAGGCCCTACTTGAACTGTTGTGTATCTGATTATGACCCTGAACTTCTGATAATCAGTCCTCTACTTCCCAGGTGATGGGTGCCGCCATGCCCAGTTTATACTGAAGTATATTTCTCTGTACTAGTAATGAATAATCCAAAAATGAGGTGACATGGCATTTAAAATTATGAAATGCCAAGGAATTAAACAGACTTGTACAAGATGTCTGACAAGTATGGTTGAATGAAGTTAAGAGTTTTGTCAGTGAAGACATCTGTATGTTAATATCTAGTAAGTGGTTCTCAACCTTCTTAAAGCTGTGACCTTTAATACAGTTCCTTATGTTGTGGCAACCTCCAACCATAAAATTATTTCATTGCTACTTCATAACTGTAATTTTGCTACTGTTATGAATCATAGTGTAAATATCTGTGTTTTCTAAGGGTCTCAGGCGACCCCTGTGAAAAAGGGTATTTCAACCACCAAAGGAGTTCTGACTCACAGGTTGAGAAACACTCATCTAGAGGCAGTTTTCCTGTTCTGTTACACTTACTCAGCTCCCTGAAACAAGATAAACTTGATTTTCTTTCCTCAAAAAATATTTGAAATATTAGTAATTCAAAAATTAATCTAGCCGGGCAGTGGTGGCGCACGCCTTTAATCCCAGCACTCGGGAGGCAGAGGCAGGTGGATCTTTGTGAGTTCAAGGCCAGCCTGGTCTATAGTGTGAGATTCAGGAAAGGCGCAGAGTTACACAGAGAAACCCTGTCTCAAAAAACAACAACAACAACAAAAAAAAAAACCACAAAAAAACAAAAAAAATTAATCTACAAAGTTAGCACAATCCTAACAAAATCCAAAGTTCTAGCTGAATATTTGCAAAAATAAACAAGATTTTTCTAAACTTTCTATGAAATGCAAGAGACCCAAAATAACTCAATTTCCAGAAAGGAAGTTGTAGCACTACCACCTTGATTTCAGAACTCATGATTGCAAGCCAAGGAGGAATTAAAGGATAGACGTGTGTGGAATGACAGGAAGTGTGGGCTGAGAGAATAGGTCTACATTTATGTTTGAAGTGTCTGAAGTCAAGTCTTTAAGAGGCACAGTTATGTCTGTCTGACAGGATACTTAGGCATGGGATCCTTTGTCTAACAGTTGCTCTGGACTTCCTGTCTACTGTGACCTGCTTTAGTTAGCATTTTTCTATGGTGTCGTTGCAGTGCGGATGGGGAAGTGAAACACTGTGTGATCTACAGCACCGCTCGAGGATACGGCTTTGCAGAACCCTACAACCTGTACAGCTCGCTGAAGGAGTTGGTGCTCCATTACCAGCAGACATCCCTGGTTCAGCACAATGACTCCCTCAACGTCAGGCTCGCCTACCCTGTCCATGCACAGATGCCCTCACTCTGCAGATAAGCAGAGTGGGAAAAGACATGGCTCTCCAGCATTTTTTTCCTATGGTTTTAATTAGACTACGATGAGGGCATTCTTTCTACGTAGACTGCTTGTTTTGCACAAGTGATTCTGTGAATGTGAAATGGAGAGGCCGAGCAATAGCTGGCCCGGATTTAGGGATAAATGAGGGGCCCAGGGTCTCTGGAGTCAGCTGTGCTGCTGCACTGTTGAAGCTGGAAGCAGATACTGGTTTCATGGGGTTTTGCTTTGTTGTCAGGCACCTTGAACAGAACAGTTAGACTTGTTGTGGGTGGGAGTGGGGGTTTATTTGGAAGCCTTTGAAGAGTCCATGTCCTCTTGTCTTCCACTCTGAGGATGCAGCAGGTCATGGTTCTGTTGGAGTTGTTTGGCTTTGATAGTCTCTCCCCACAATAAGAAGCTAACTTTGGTTCTGTGATAAGATGGGGTTTGGTTTGGGGGGAAAAAAGGCAACCAAAGGAAATAGGGAGGTGTGGGATTTCATTTACAGAATCTAAACCAAGGAGGCAAAAGACCCCTTCAGTCGATGTTATTTCAATTTTACAACCATTAATTTAGGCTTCAGCGTCTTACCATCTCCTCCCTCTAACGCACTATGTTCATGAACCAGCAAAGCAACATTGCCAGACCAAGGTCTAAGGGGAGAAGGTGACACTTAGTAGCTGAATGTACACTTCTGTACCAAAACTTGAAAGTAAGAAAACTAGACGCTTGAGTTTTAAACACTACAATTGGTCAGTGTGTTTCCTTTTTTCCTGGCCTTGTTTCTGAGATGAAGAATAGAATTGTTTTGTGGGGATAGTGAGCTTTGAGTCATGTTTAAGTTGGTGCTTGTGTGGTGTTTCCTTAGCCTAAAGAATGATGTTTGAAACCTTTGTAACTAGTTTTATGAGTAAAGAAAAGGTGCAATCCAGTGCTTTTAGATGGCTTGATATACCAAATAATGATAGAGAACATCATTGTTGTGTGCTTCTCCAAGTGTAAAAGCCTTGCCAAAACTGTACAAGAATTAATTTGCCTTCATCTTCCCTTCCTTTCTGGATAGGGTTTAGGGAGCCATAGGTAGGTAAAGAACTCAGTTAGTGGTCAGAGACCTCAGTAAATCACATGCACATGGGCCCTTGTGTCCAGGGTGAAAGGCCCATCACATTACATGTTATTCCATGTGGTTGAAGCTTTTGCCAAGAGAGGGTGTATAGTGTTGAGTTCAGACTATCTGGGGGAAAAATCTACAAGCTTTCCTATTTTGCCTTTTTTGTGAGCCTGCCATTAAGGCAATGTGCATGCCTCTCCTCATGCTTCAGTGGCTGTGATTTTTGGCCAGGAATCTTCTGCTCCACGTGGTTTAGGCTTTCCAGCTGAGTGAAGTTCATTAGGTAGAGGGCAGGCATCTATTCCTGGCTTCACACTCATTTAACAAACAGTCCAGCTGCTTCAGAGCCAGTCCTGGAGCCATAACAGGCACAGTGTGACTCAGCTGCTTGAGCCTAGTGACATGCAGGCAGGCATTCTAGTTGAACAAGATAAACAGCCCATACCTGGGTCTTGGCTCTTAAGATCAAATTTGAGGGCCAAAATTAAGATGAACATAACTTTCCCTGAGCATTTACTTCAGTGACATTGTCTAGAATGAACTATAGTAGAGACCAAAATTTTTGGAAAAGTGTTTGTCCCAGTAAGGATAGGAAGAAAGGGGCATGTCATTGCTGTTGACTTTTCCTTGTTCATGCTCCAGTATGGAATGAGAGAAAATTGACCTCCTTCAGCCACTATTCAAGGCTCTGCCTTTCTCAAAATTGCCAGCTTGAAATCTGCTCAGTTTACTAGGTAATTTACCAGGTAATGCCAGATTGGCATACCTATGTGACTTTGTACCTGATGGAACTTGCTGAAGCAGTTACATGCGCAAGATTGGGTGCAATCTCCTATCTGGCACCAAAGTTCTAGTAGGTCCTGGATGCTTTTTTTGTTTTGTTTTGTTTTGTGTTTTGGCTTTTCAAGACAGGGTTTCTCTGTGTAGCTTTGGTGCCTGTCCTGGATCTCTCTCTGTAAACCAGGCTGGCCTCGAACTCAGAGATTCGCCTGGCTCTGCTTCCTGAGTGCTGGGATTAAAGAAAGGCGCGCGCCACCACCGCCCGGCACTCTGGATCTCCCCCTCCAAGTCAAAATGGAATATAATATACAACTGTAGTACTGAATAATGTCATTACTTTGTAGGGCAGACACGCAGGATGTGCAGGAGACAGAAAGCAGCATCTTAGCATCTACACTTGGGCTGAACTGGGGAGAAAGGCTGTTGTTCAGTCCTACATTCCTTCCCTTTAAGTGATCTGCTTTGTGGGATCTAAGACCAGGGATCATTTAGTAAATTGGAAGGTATCTTTTTCTGACAAATTGCCACAGGATTTACTTGGTCCTGATCTGTGGAAAAGGCATAAGGACCATTCTCCTAACAGCTGCCTGGTGTCTGGGGGAGTCAGCATGCTGCTATTGCTCCATGGCTCAGAAGCAGGTCTCAGTCTTCTTCCCAAGTCTAGCTTGTTCTGTCCCATCATCTGGGCCCTGGGACTATATATCTCTTTTGGCATCTTAACTGCAGTTTGACTGAAGCAGAAGGTAAAGAGACAGATTAACTAACCAGAGGGGCAGATCAGCCAGCCCCCAAAATGAAAGCAGCTTTTGGTTGGCTAGCTACACTTGTCTTTTTTAACAAGACAATGCTGTTTACACCTGGCATTGTTCAAGCATAGGTAGATTGCCTATGTTCTTGTCACTGCTCCATCCACAGATAAAGACATTCTACGCTCCACTCTTCCCTAAGACATAGGATCTCAACATTTACTTCAGACTCCTTGAGCCACTGTGGCATCTACCGTGTTTCTCATCTTGCTGCAAGGTACCAGCTCCAAGCATTCTCCTGAGCTAAAAAAAAAAAATTGTATCTGAGCAATTTCTGGTTTCTAGGATGATCTCTGTTGCCATTTAGGAACCCAGAGTAGATCTGAGATTCCCATGGCATCATAAACCAGAGGGTCTGTGATTGGCCCTTTGCTGCCACCTGTTCAGTTTTGACTTAGCTCTAGCCATTTGTGACAACCAGCCTTGTTTCTTTACAAATCCTCGCATGTAACTTTGGTACCCTGTTGTTTCTTGTGAAGAATCTATTCTGTTGTCTTTGATGTAATAAAAAAAATTCATGTAGTTTATGTAAAAGCACCTGACTCAGAAGGAAGCCAATTGTGTCTTGTGTTGGGACAATTCATAATGTAGTTCCTAGACCACGTTTGCAAATGGTTATTGTCACCAAATGTGTTCGGACATTGCTGTGCAGTTGTGGGGAAGGGGTGGGGGGCAAGGTGAAGTGAGAACATCGTTGTTTTTGTTTTGTTTTGTTTTGTACCTTCTCCAAGACTGGGATGGTCTGGCTGACTTGCTCCAGATGCAATAAAAATATTGCAATGAAGCACCTTTTTGTCTTCTTGGCATGGAAGGCGGTGGGCTTGGGGCAGGGCAGGGAGGACAGCAAGTGGTCCTGCAGTCTTGGAGGCTGAACTGAGACCACTGGAGGTTCTCCCTCCTGTGAGAGGGAGTCAACACTTAACAAATCCTGTCTACCCCAAACAGGACACAAACTCAATACTAACTGAAAATATTAAACCTGAGAGCCATTTCCTCCCCTTAACACCCATTCCTAATAAGTGCGTTTTATTGGTTCTCATGCCCAGAAATAAGCTTTTTTCTCATTCTACTCTGGGGTAGGAGAAATGGACTTACTAGTCTTGTCCTCTTGTCCGTCTCTAAGGCACTTTATCCACATGCCTTGGCCAGGGAACGTCTATATTTTGTTTTGTTCATTTCTCTCCTGCTGTGTCCTAAGTACAAGGCATGAACTGTGCATGTTTAATCCCAAGACAGTCAAAATTATCTCCTTCCCACCCCTCTTTGGAAACCTGCACTAGGACAGTGTCTCATAGGTATTTGGACTGCAGAGAAAATACAAGGTTGAATATCATCAGTTCCCTTATTGCCCCACCCCAGACCTACAAATTTGCTTATAACCACATAACTCCTCTCCTTTCTGTTCAGTTACAATAAGTAGCCCTCCAAACAATGCCATTCTTCATATCTATTTTGGATTTTATTTCCTCTCACCTCTTTTCACTCAGTTTTTCTAAGAGGGATCATCCCCATTTTATACTTAAAACGGCTGGGTGTATAGCACTGGAGAGATGGCTGCTCTTCCAGAGGACCCAAGTTCAGTTCCCAGCACCCACATAGCAGCTCACAAACATCTGCAATTCCAGTTCCAGAGGATCTGACACCCTCTCTGGCTTCCACAACACTACATGCATGTGGTGCATAGATATACAAGCAAGAAAAATACCCATACATGTAAACTAATTTTACAAAACAAAAATAAAATGGGTGTCCTCATGCTACTCTGAAATTCTATTCATACCTTTCCCTTATTTTTCTTCACAGCAAGTCACCTCCATGTCTATTTCCTCACCTGAAATTTCCCTATAGGTTATTATTACTCAAAACTGTGCCATTTGAAGTGTTAACCATTTGTTTTTTTCATGAAAACTCATCCACCCCACTATAAGCCATTCACCTAGTTTTTTTCTGAAATGTTTCAGCTAGAGAGCTTTGCTCTTAGGACTCTACCTAAATTTTGCCTCCATCAGCGAATTTACCTACCATGTCTAGACCAATACATTTCTCTTGCCCATCTCCATTGTAAGAGATCTCCTATTCAGTACATTGATGCAGCATGGAATGCAGGGTGTGGTGGTCTGAATAAGAACGGCCCCCATAGGCTCATATCTGAATACCTGGTCTCCAGTTGATGGAACTGTTTTGGAAGGACAAGAAGGTGGGGCCTTGTTGGAGCTGTCTCAATAGGGGTGGGCTTTGAGGTTTCAGGGCTCCTGCCATACCTGGTATTCCTTCTCTCTGCCTTCTGCTTGAGGTTTAAGATGTGAGCTCTCAGCTCTGCCTTCTGCCATGGTGGAGTTTGTTGTTGTTAGGGTCTGTGTAGCTCTGGCTGTCCTGGAGCTATGTAGACCAGGCTGGCCTGGAACTCCAGGGATCCTCCTGCTTCTGCCACCCAACTGCCACCAGGATTAACAGTATGTACCACCATGCCCGGTGGGTCCAGCTTCTGATAAGGATCTCATTCCCTATTTTTTCTTTTGTACTGGTTGTACCTACTCAGTGTTGTGGGTCTTTTGGGTTTCCTTTTCTTATTTCATTCTGTATGTTCTCCAGGCAATCCTTATCTTACGTAGGTTTAACTATCATAGTATCTTCTGAGAGTTCCTTGGTGTTGACAGGTTTGTGCACTAGTCCCTGGCTCATGTGAACCACTGCAACCTGTCTATACTACAGCCAGAGACTAGACAGGCTAGAACAAACATGATACGACTTCTGAAGTTGCCTTTGAGAAACTCCTCACACAGTGGTGTTCTAAAAGGGAGTACTACTGTACTTGGGTCGATGCCTTTGTATTTATATCACAAGATGCTTGGTGGCTATGCGTCCTCCCATTCACTTCCAACCTTCTAGGACTGTTTTCAGAAAACTGCAAGAGCTTCCTTCCTCCCATCTACCCCCTTCATCTGTGCTATGGTGCTTCTGACAAGATCCTGACATGAGACAATCACCACCCATTCAGCTATCTTGTGATCTTCCAGGCAATAGCCTGTGACCTGTTTTCTGTACCCAGTGTACCAGCCCAGCCTCTGCAGCTAATACATAACGGGAGTTACAGAACTATCAGAAGTATGGAAGGCATCCCATATGGATGGACCAGATACCTCTTGGAGCCACCAAGTCTTCTAGTCTTGACACATCAAGCCTGGTTCCGTCCTGTGATGCTACTAACTCTAATCACAGCACCTGGTATACTTAACAAGTAAACCATATGTAACTCTAGCTGCTAGCATGATAGCTTTTATGTAGAAAGACTTCAGTTCATGTTGTATAGGAACCTGTCACCGTCAATCTAATTTTTGGTAGCCACAATCTTCCCCATGCAGAATGAAAAAGCTGCAAGCTGCAGTGGGCTGAAGTACTGACTTTGGTCCCCCAAGTCTCTCAGAGGCAGGCATTAGATCATGGGGTAGGGCAGGTAGCTTAACCATCAGTTCAGCAATTTTGCAACTCTGGCCTTACCACAGGGAATCTTCCGGCCTCAACACACCAAGCCTGGTTCCTCTTACCTACCCTTGGGTACTATGCATTTTTCTGTTTCTTCCCTGTCCCCTCCCCAACACTACCCACAAGCACAGTTCTAATCGTTAAGGGTTACTGGCTGCAATCTTGACTAGCAGAAGTCCCAGCCCACAAGCCGGAGCGGTCCGTCACTAAACAGGCAGTTGTTCTCACCTTTGTTGTCTCAGCATTGCACTCTACCTCCTGTTCTGAAGCTCTTTCCTCTCTTGGATCTTGTGTGTTACTGACTGGACTCTGGACTGTTTTCACACCAGACAATTCTACCACTGAGCTTTACCTTCCAACCCCCTTCATGTTGCTGTGCCCAGGGGTGTCACTGTTGATAAAATGTAGCTCTCATTTCCATATATTTTATTATCTTCTGGATACCCCATATATACCTCACAGTAAATATATCCAATGTCAAACTCATCACTTCCTTGAACTTTTTCTTGTTTACTGGTGAAGACACAAAGTTAGAAGATAAATACAGGTTCTAGAGTCAGAGACCTGAGTGCTAATCCCAGCTCTGTCCAAATTACTGCCCAGGGCAGAAAAGCTCACTTCCTTATCAAGAAATCGGGAATGTTAGAGGCCACAAGTCCTCATTTAGTGCTCCATTACCTACAGAATCTCAGGGCTGGCTGCTGCTTTGTTCCTTGTGTACACTGACGGCTGTACAGAAGGATGGTAAACCACAGTCTGTCTTTAAACTACCAAACCTTGTTCCACTGAGTTCTTTTGGGTTCCTGGAACATAGCAGGTATATTGTGTATACTACCTTCTGGCCATTCTTTACTGAGCCACTCCCTACTCTCAGAAAAACTTACTATCCAGCACCCATTTATGTCTGAGCTCAGATATCTCATGGTCTGAGAAATGAAGCCGGACTGGGTTCTCTCCCTGAAAGTCAACTTAGTCATTATAATCCCAGTAGCAGCAGGCCCCAAACCTAGAGTCCTGTGGATCAGGACCAACAGAAAGAAGCAAACAAAGGCCGAGATGGTTTCCAGGAGGGTGTATTACACAGGTGAGTGCAAGGGAAGCAAGCCCAACTGCTATGTTTGCTTTCGAAGCTCATCTGATGCCAGGGCCAAGTCTGGATGTTTTTGCTGGCCCCTAGGTTCTTGGTTTCTCCAGAGCAGGTTGGGCCCAGTTTCTGGGCTGAGGGGGTAGGCTCTGCATGGAATGTCCTGCCTCCTGTCGCCCGAGGCATCAGGCAATTCCATGATGCTCAGGACTGGCTCCTCTTTCTCCATTTGTTCACATTCAGACTCCCATAGCCAGTTTTGGCTGGGGACCTCATGAAGTGGATAGGTCAGCCCAGGTGACTGTGGCTTCTCTTGCTCAGGAGACAGGTTCTTAGGAAGAGTTGGAGCTGTGGCTTCCAAATCTTGGGAGTTAGCTGGTTCTCCTGTCCTTGTTATCTTCTTGTTTAGGGATGCCCTGTCTGGACCTTCAATAAGGAATTTCCAGGACCATGTTCCTGGTGTTCCAGAGGTGGAGGTGGCAGAGCACCTGGTGGGGGTAAGTTCTGAAGATCTGGGACAAAGTGCAGCTAGTGCCTGTGTGTGGAGGTGCTGGGCCTTCCAGCAGCCTTCAGAGGGGTTGGGGGCTTCTAAGGAACTGGTAACTTCCTCAAAGGCTTGTGGCCTCCAGAGCCTCCTCTGGGAGAGCCCAGGAACTTCTATTCGGGGGGAACCTAGTATGTCCCCTGTCAACAGCCCAGAGCGTACAGAAGCCTGGTTCTTTAGATCCCTGTGTAAGAGAGCATCCTCTTCCCTATCCTCTCCTGAACCTTTAGGGGGTAGATTCTTGCCTGCTTCTGGTTGGGGGGCCAGTCTTGGCTCTTGTGTGGCCTGGCCATTCTCAGGCTCCTCATCAGTGTCATCTTCTGAGGAGTCTACTTCCCGGATAGCTTCTTACTTTTGCAGTGACTCTCGGAGTTCAGCTCAATCCTGCCGGAGGGTCCCAAGGGCCCGTGAAGGAGCAGGCTGCAGCACCCCTTTTCCTGGAAGTGATCCTTTCCCGGAGAGCACACTTCTGGTTCCAACTACCTCCAGAGGGCTGGCTTCCCTGGGTGGCAGCTCCTTCTTCAGCTCACCATGGGGCAGGTCAAGACGATGCTTGCGGGAAGGGGCTAACTTCTTCTCAGAAGCTGCCAGTGCAGCTGCCAGCTTCTCAGCAGACTGCACCCTTTTAAGCAGTGGGGAGCGGGGTGGCTCTGCACTCTTGGGCCGTGAGAGCTGCCTACCTAGTGGAGGAGACAAGTGAAGTTTGGTAGGAAAAGTCTGGGCTCCGTGTCCAGACAAAGGTGATGGGGAACGCTGAGGCGAAGAAGCTGCTGCTGCTGGTGGAGAAGGGGTGTGGGCCAAGGGTGACAGTGGGATGCTGCCTGCCGACTTGCGCCGTGGAGAACGGTATTGGCGTTGGAGCTTGGGTGCCAGACCATGGAGGGAGCTAGGCCGTGTATGTCCAGAGCCAGCAGGGGAACTGGGCACACTGGAGCTGGGAGAGCTGCTCTGCGATGAATTCCCTCCCACTTTGGATAGATGCATGGATGGATGGAAAGACAAACAGAAAACAGCACATGAGTGTTAGTTGTTAGAAGTGACTGAGTGGCAAGGCAGAACTTAGACCTAGAATGCCCTACAACTGCCTACCTTATACTACTGGTCCACTTAATCCACCCCCTCCCCCGCCCCAACACATCAACTCTTCCCAAGACTTCTGGATCTTCAAGGGTGGGCTCAAAGAGATTTATTAGAGTGGGGCCTAAGGGAAGCAGAGGGCTCAGGTTCCTTCCTATTTCCCAAGGGGTGGTTTCTGATCTACAGGGAGGCCCTTGTACCTGAGTGCACAGAATCAGGGGCTCCCCGGTAGCCCTGAGGAGGAGATCGGGGAGAGAGGCTGTGGCTGTGTGTGGGAGAGCCTGGACCACTCTCTCCTGACGACAAGGAGCGGTTAAGGGAAGAAAGGCTGCGGCTGGTGTGCAGCAGGGAGGCTTGCTTGGTGATCTTGCGGAACAGGGAGCTTCTTTTTCTGCTGTAGAGGTAAGGGCGAGGCTGATTTGCACAGGGCCCAGCATACTCTAGGCCCCAACAAATGTGCACACCCAGGTTCTCAGGGTAAACCTCTGGACCAAACTTGTCTCACCTTTCTTGCCCATCCTTGCCCCGGCTTCGTTTGCTCCTTCGGGCCATCTTGGCTTTGTAGCTGCTTTTCCGAGCTGGCCCCACTTTGATAGATGTATTCTCCAAGGGAGTTGTTGAAATTGATACCTTGTTTCCACTCTGGGAAGCCAAGCAGAGAACAGCATGAGCTCTGGCTAAGAGTGGTGGCTGTTTTCCTGTCTTGCCCTTCCTCCGCTGCACCACAGCTCCAGCTACTGCTCTCCAACAGCAGCACGTGCAGCTCAGCAAGTGCTGTTTGCTCTCCCAGGTTAGAAAATGGTTCCAAGTGCACCCCAGAGTGGTTTAGGTTTAGGAATGGTGAGACAGAGCAGCACCTCTCCTCCTGTCCTGCTCATCAGTCTCACTTGCATTTAGAAGAGTCATTGGGCCTTGGCCAGCAAAGGCTACTTACATATGGAGAAAATCTCCTGTACTGCACATTCAAATTCTCCACGTCCCTACATCTGTCCTTAGTGCTGATGTATGTGTACCTGACACCCCCGCTCCCCCTACGGCTAGTCCAGGCTCACAAGTCCAGGGCCATTCATCCTCACACAGACAGGATTTCCAGCACTAACCTTCAAGACCAGCTCCACCACTTCTGTATGGACCAGCCCATGCACAGGCTCACCATTGACATGGGTGATGAGGTCACCCTGACGAAGCCCTGCCTCACTGGCTGGACCGCCATCCTCCACATGCTGCCCCAGGAAGAGAAGAGTCTTTAATTTGGACCTTGGTTCAGCTGCTGTGACCCCTTGACCACCACCCTTTGGTTTCTGTGAATAATGTGGGCAGTGACCGAAGAAAGGGCTTGTAGACAGGCTCTGCTAACGGGAAGGTGGGAGAAACAAAGCTAGAGGACACCAGCTCTGCCTGGCCAGACATACCCACACCATGTGGTGCACAGTGTAGACGTCTGAGTCACCCATGTAGACACGAATGGCCCTCAGGGTGAAGCCATACTTCTTGCCAGCTCGGTGGATGATGATGGGAGGCCTCAAGCTGCCAAGAGCTGGCAAGAAGTCCCTGCTTGGAGAAGAGTCCCTGGAGGATGGATTAGATGACTGGGAATGCGGGGACATGGGGCTGGCCAATGGTGAGCAGGTGTGGTGTTCTGGAGGAGAAACCAAGACTTAGTGATCACAGATCTTGATCTGGCATGGACAGAGTTAAGGCTAAGCAATATCTTCCCTGCAGGACTTGATTCACAAAGCATCCTTACCTGGATAGAACTTTTTGAGCTCTTGGTGGAGTGCAGGTGAATGGTGCAGCTAGCACTTATGTGTATATAATGGACCATGTAGGCACATCATAAGCTTTAAACATTGCAGTTATACTGTGAGCTCATTATTTATATCCACTTAATATTTTCCCCCCAAAACAGGGTTTCTCTGTGTAGCTGTGTGTGGGAGAGCCTGGACCACTAGTCTGTCCTAGAACTCACTCTGTAGACCAGGCTGGCCTCGGACTCAGAGAGATCCGCCTGGCTCTGTCTCCCAAGTGCTGGGATTAAAGGCGTGTGCCACCACTGCCACCCGGCTCCACTTAACATTTTAAAAAATGATTTATTTTTGTTTTATCTGAATTGGTGTTTGCCTGCATGTATATCTATGTAAGCGTGTTGGATCCCCTGGAACTGGAGTTACAGACAGTTGTGAGCTGCTATGTAGGCGCTGGGAATTTAACCTGGGTCCACTGAACCATCTCTCCAGCCCCATATATCCACATTTTAAAAATGAAGAACTTAGGGCTTAAGAGTGTCAGACAAGATATTCAATTCAAGGTCAAGAGCCTTCAGCATTGATGATTTGAACTATTAGCTTTTTGCCCCAAAGCCTACACCTCTTCTGCCACTACAGTCCTGCCCTCTGGTGCACATGCATGGACATCACAGACATCAGCACGGGTCTTCAGAGACCTCTACTTGCATGGTAAGGAGGCAGTCTCTCAGACACCTACTTGCACACACATACACCTGCTGCACAGAGACTCATGCAGACCCCCAGCTTCCAATGGCCATCCTATGAGTTTTCTCTTAGTTCCCTGGTGGCCTTACCTGAAGGAATGAGGAGGGAAAGGGCTGTAGCTGAAGCAGACTTGATTACTTTGTTGACAGGGCGAGTGGTGCGCTTCTCTATAGAGTCCCCAGAGAGCAGCCGGTGACGGGCCCTGCGCACAGCTAGGTCACTGATGGCTTTGGCTGCAGCTTCCTCAGCCAGCTGTGGGGTCCCATGGCCTCGTGTCTCCATGGCTGTGGGTCCAAGTGAATAATGAGACCTGCAATGTAGCTAAGCCTCCCTCCCTGGTATATTCCAGCCTATGCCTTTCACCATCCTGTGGGCCACACCTGCACAAGACGCACCACTCTGGCCAGGAGGCTCCTCATTCAGCTTCAGCTGCCTCTCCAGTGGTTGTTCAGTGACAGGCCCAGATGACCCCTCTCCAGATGGGGGTGTGAGGACCCATATACCCTCCTGTTGTTGCCTCCGAGGGGTGCCACTGGTCTCCTCAGGGCATCGAGGCACATCTGGGAGGCCTGAACAACGGTGTCGCACTGTCATCGGAGGACTTGAATCACTCTCTGTGTGGGACGACTCAGACACAGACAACCGCTTCCGTAATCTGAGAAATACAGGGCTTAGGTACTATAGGGTGAAGTGGCCCAGGTTGTCTCCACTCCTGCCTCTGCTGAGACTACCTTAGGGGCACAGTTATAGTCACGGACCTTTTCGCACATTTTGCCAGACTTCCCTGGCAAATGTCATTTAACTACCAACACCTACCCCTCCAGCTTCTGATGTTTACAACCGAGGCATGACTGATCTACCCACCCTGGTGAGCCCTGGGTGCTTACATCTCAGGGGAACCAATCACCCAGCTGCGGTCTCTGCCCTTCAGCCCTGCCAAGCCATCTGAGCGATCTTCCTTCTCCTCACTCAGGCTGCGCTTGGTTGGGGGTGGTGTCCGGCGTTCCTCAAGCAGGGAAAGCCGTTCCATGCTACTGTAAACCTATGAGCACAGGAGACACATGGGATGGCTCTGACAGCTATACCTTCCAAGGAACAAAGGGTCTCCTTGGGATCTGACAGCAAGGGATTTGAGGGGACCCCTCCCCGCTTTATACCCTTCTCCATTCAAGTCGCTCATTTGCAGAAACTGTTCTACTGGCCTGATTCTAGGGGCTCTTTTTTTTTTTTTTTCCCGAGACAGGGTTTCTCTGTGTAGCTTTGCGCCTTTCTGGAACTCACTCTATAGCCCAGGCTGGTCTCGAACTCACAGAGATCCACCTGCCTCTGCCTCCCGAGTGCTGGGATTAAAGGCATGTACCTCCACTGCCCGGCCTCTCTGATCTCTTTTTCGGGCAGGGGTTCTAACAAAATTCCTTGAGCCTGCCCTAGGCATGTCCTTGACAGGCTCTCTCCTCTCCCAATCCCCCAGCAGCCTGCGCTCCTTAGTCACACCTTGCTGAACCTTGGAGAGCAGGAAGAAAACTGGCGGATCTCAAGGCAGCCGTCCTCACTCACTTCCTCTTCATCCTCAGAGTCTACATGGTGGTATCGTTCTGAACGGGCTAGACCAAATACACAGTTTATTAACTTCAGCACCCCTGCTGGTGCCATCCTGGTGGAGTCGGGCCTGAGCAGCTGCTCCTGACAAGGGCTGCACAGGCATTTCCTGGTAAATAAGGTTCATGCTTCACTTCAGCCCCCAGCAAGTCTTACTGTCAAAGTAGCTGGTGTCATCCTCTGACTCCAGCTGAGGGATAAACTCAGCCTTTTGGCGAAGGAGTCCTGTCCAGTCCAGACCCGTGAAGAACGGATGCTGCTTCACTTCACAGGCACTACCTGAGTCAGAGAGGGCCGGGGAAAAGATCAGCTGCATGGAGTACAGGTAATCGAGTCCGAGTTTCCGGATCAAGAGGGGCTTTCCACTGAACCTTAGGGTACACAGACTCAGCCTCCCTGCCCCCTTTCCAAGTGGTGAGAAATAGGAGAAAAACCCAACTTACTTGTGCCCAGTCTTTCTAGGGGGTTCTGGTGAAGCAGTTTGGAAGTGAGGTCTTGAGCATCTGGGGGCAGTGCATCATCACCCTCAGGCCACACAATCTCATCTGAAGTATTATGGGTAAGAGAGGAAAATTGTGGGTAGAGTGGGGAAATGCAGAAACAGGACAGTATAAGGAAGGGAAAAGCCAGGCTTAGAGCCCCTCAAAGCCTTGTCTGGAACCCCAGTTCCTAAACTCCTAGAGGTTCCTCCTCTCCTAGGGAGTCTCACAGTCCCCAGAACATAGCTTGCTCTCTGATCCAGTGTGCACATTTTCAACAGTGACTTCCTGCTCCTGAAGCGCCAGCTCACTTGCCATTTTACTCTAGACTCAGCGCTCACACTCACAGATACAAGAACAGCACAGAATACCCATGACACAAGAATGCCATGAACACAGAGAAAGCCCCAGGAGGACACAACACATGTGTGCTCAAACAGACACATGCCTACCAGGGACACACACTTCAGAAAAAAGAGCTCAAGACCCTCCCAGTTGTATGCATATAACCCGACTCCACACTGGTCCAGGGAGACAGTACCTACCACTGATCACTTGCCCAAAGAGCTCCTCCGGAGTGTCTCCAAAGAAAGGGACGCAACCCACCAGGAACTCATACAGGATTATGCCCATGGCCCACCAGTCCACTGGCTTCCCATAGCCTTGACGCAGGATCACCTCAGGTGCTATGTATTCCGGGGTCCCGCATACCTGAGCACAGAGAAGGCAGGCTGGCTCAGTATTCTGAGACAGCTTGCTGGCATGACAGTTTAGGATGTTCCTTCTGAATGAAGAGGCAGCTCACCCTACCTAATAATAATAAACAGTACCAATAGCCATTCCAGGGAACGGAGTTAAAGCTCTTGGTCAGGAGGGTTTCTGTATTTCCTAATTAACCAAAACATCTCATTCTAGCCTGAAACCATCCCTCTCTAAACTTTTTCTTCTGGAGCTTGTCATAAGAGTTGGTTCCAGCCCCCAGAACAGAACCTACCAATCATCTGTGGCCATCACAACCTGAAATACCAAGTCAGAAAACATCAATGGGCTGCTCTTGAGAAAATGGCACAGCATTCAGTGGAAGTGTGGAGCTGTGTTCCAAGAACACACCCCAGGAGAGCTGTGCCTCAGGCTGATCTCACATGAAGATGCATCAATAGTTAAGACAGCTATTTCATCCAAATCCCAGGGAAAATTTTATACCCATTTTCTCAGGGCTCATCCTGTTTTCCAAATGTGCTATCTACTTCAATGTTTCCCTGAAACTAAAGGCAAAAACGTGGAATACCCATGTTAATACTCAGGCACAGATTATAAGCAAGTAACTCCAAGGCCTTATTCTGAGGCCTGAATTTCAACCCCCAATTTTCCCCATGCGTCTTACCTGCTTGTCTAGGAACTCCCGGGCATCCTTTTCAATGTGGCCCTCATACAAGTTGGTTGTCAAACTCATGAGGCCAATTTTAGAAAGTCCAAAGTCAGTGAGTTTGATGTGCCCCATGGATGTAATCAGAAGGCTATGAGACCACAGGAAAAAATCATGGAGTTATTTCCCAGTTGTCCCTTAGTACTGATTTAGTATTAGCCTCTGCAGGGCACCAGGGGACACAAATGGGGAGCTAGGCAGTTATAAACCAGCAGCAGCCCTGGCTTTGTGAGCACCATTTCCTGTCCCTCCTTGCAAGTCCATCTCTTTGTTGTTCCCTTGTACCTGGACAGTACTGCCAGAAGAGACTTCCTCCAGCTGAGACCAGCCATCCTAAAGAAGCTGCTGTAGTCATTAACAACCCTCTGTAAGCCAAGGAACTTATAGTATCCATCTCAGGGAGAAGGAAAAGTGATGACATCTTTTCCCATGCCCTTGATTTGGGAAAAACTAGAAACCAGAGACTGCTTTAGATACTTTGCCTGGGCCATTCTACTTGATGGTAAGAGCTGCACCCTGCCACCCTCTATTCTAGTGATTCCCCAATTATTATCCCTGGTCCCCACTTCTTTATTTTTTCGAGACAGGGTTTCTCTGTGTAGCCCTGCTTGTCCTGGAACTTGCCCTGTAGACCAGTCTGGCCTGGAACTCACAGAGATCCGCCTGCCTCTGCCTCCTGAGTGCTAGGATTAAAGGCGTGCGCCACTATTGCCCAGCTTGGTTCCAATTTCTTTAATTGGATCAGTGTCAGTGGTCCAGGCCACAAACTCAAACTATGCCAAATGAAGTCAAGTTTCCTACCTGGTTCATCATATGAGTAAGAAACATGTTCAGTGAGCTACTGAGTTCTGTGATAAGTGTCTCCAAACTGTCCTGGAACTGAGGATGCAGTCCAGTGGAGGAGTATCTCACTATCATGAATGAGACCTTGGTTTTGATCCACAGCACCAAAGGAGGAAGAAGGCAAGGGGGACTGTTTCTAGAATACTCAGCATAGCAAATGTGCTGTTTTCATTTCAGAAGGAAGGAATCTGAGACTCAAAACTTTTTTAATAAAAAGACTGACTCAGTTAACAAGCATTGACTGGCCATCTGTAGGTCTGCATAATATCAAAGCTATTTCTCTCTCTCTCTCTCTCTCTCTCTCTCTCTCTCTCTCTCTCTCTC